TCAGTGCATTGTCTATTAAGGCAATTTGCTTCTCATTGGTTTTGCCACAACCCTGCTTGCATATTACTTTATTCACTGCCTCCGGGTTTGAGTACTCACAGGCAATGTATGGTTCCATAATTTTCAGCATATTGATTGAAGCCCTGTGGAGTTTTCCAAAGGTACCACTGAAGATTTGACAAAGTTGAAGAAGCTGCAACAAGTTTCAGACCTTTGAGCTCACACCATGGATACCCCTGATCTGGATGAGCAATGCCAACTTGGGTTCTGCAGGTCCATAGAAGTTGCCAGCTTTTCTTGCCATCCTCGCCACTTCAATCCCAGTTCTGTACATCTGTCTACTGTACTCTTTATGCTTGTGCCTGGCCTAGACTAATGTATCCTTACCATTCAGTTTCTTGGGATCCTCCCAAGTGTGTCAAACTCTGGATCAGTTAAGTTTCACTGGAGACAGAGACTTCACTGTGTAGGATTTACTAAGCAGTCTCACAGTGGCCCCTATGGAATCGGGAATGTGTGGGAGATGAAAGATGCCCCCTGTGCCCTGCAGAGCAGCAGGATCCTGCAGGATGCCTCGAGCATGGAGATTCGCCACTCAGGGCAGGTGTATTGCAGAACTCTGAAGGGACTGAGTGGAAGGCTGAGTCTGCTCTGGGAAGCAGGAGGACTGGAGCAGGTCCATCAAAGGCTGTGATGAAAACAGAAGCCGCTCTGTCAAAGGAGGTGAAAGACCATTTTTCTTTTTTTTTTAATTCTTCTTAGGGTTTGTTGTAGTACAAATGATTACAGTCATTTTCCTTTCTTTTGGGTATCATAGTTTATCTTACTGTCTTCAAAGTAGTTGCCTATACCCTCAGACTTGATACTATCAAACAAAATGGATTCAAATAAAATCATTCAAAACAAGACAATGACCAGACAAAATAGATTGTAATAAAATCAGTCAAAACAAAATCCTGAAAGCAACACAGCACTTCAAATGAAGTTAATAGGAAATCAAAAATGGTTAACAGTATACCCTACCCCTAATATTTGGAATAGCTGTCCATGCCATCAAATCTAATACAAGTAGACAAATTCGAACAGTCTATAATAATACTAAACAGGATGTCAAAAACAATATCGGTTTCTAATCATGATAATAGATTTACAATGTCCTCTACCTTCTCTTTGTAGACTACTCCTCCCCTTTCACTTTCACAGGGTGTGTTGTACATTCTGGATCCCACTAACTCCTTTAGTTTTGAGATTAGGGGGCAACCCACTATCACCTAAGTAATTCTGAACCCTTTTACCACTGAGTATGATCTCAAGCTGTAGCCATTTACCTACAAGAGCCTCAAGGTTTTCCTTTCTTATAGCTGAGTAGTTCTCCTTTGTATAAAAGTGTCATGTCTTTCCAACCTTTCTGCAGCTGATGGGCAAAATAACCCCACTTTGTTCTGGTTGCCTGTCACATACAGCATTGTTTTCTCTTCTTTGACCTTCAGTCTGTAAACCCTCTTTCAAATTGATTATATTTCTTATATTGAGCATCTCTATGGACCTCATCTCCGGATGTGCTCTGCCTATATTTCTTTTTATTAGTGTATTGAGGCCATCTATGTTAGTGATTATGGCCAAGCTTCTCTGCTTCATCTATGCCATGCTATTTTTCTGCCATTGGTTGTCTACTTTCCCCTTCATTGCACTGTCTGCCCAGTTCAGTGAGCCCCCTCTGCCACTGTTTCTAAAACTATGGTCTTTTCTCTCCCTGTCTAGGATGTATTTTTTGTAGGGTTGTTTTGGTGGTCATGAGCTCCTCCAGTTCCTCTTTGTCCTGGAAGCATCTTGTTTCTCCATTACTTTTGAGAAATAGTTTTGCAGAGTATATCAATCTGCATTAGAGGTTATTTTCTTTCAGTACTTGGAACACTTCACTCCAATCTCTTCTGGATTTGATGGTATGTGTTGAGAAGTCTGTCCTGAATCTAATGGGTTTTCCTTTATAGGTGATCTGTTTCTTTTCTCTGGCAGCTTTTAATGTTCTGTTCTTGTGTTGGATTTCTGGGCTCTTGGTTATTATGAGTATAGATGTATTTTGGTTATAGCTAGATGGATTTTTGTATACTTCATTTATCTGAATATTATTTCCTTTTCCTATGCCTGGACAGTTTTCTTTCCTTATTTCTGTAAATGGCCTCTGTATTTCATTTGTGTTTAGCCCTGCTTCTTCACTCACATTTGTTATTCTTAAGTTATAGATCCTCTTGTCATCTTCTAGCCTTTGTATTCTTACTTCCTGGTTCCTTGTTATTTTAAAGAAAACTTTCCATTTATGATAGCGAATTGCAAACCTTCAAGGTCTGCAAGGTTTGATAGTCTATTTTTAGTTTCTTTCAAACAGTTTTGCCATCTTTCAATGGAGTTTTAAATTTCCTGGTAGGCTCTTTGAATCTGTTTCATTTATTCTAAATATTTTGTATTGTTCATCAAAGGTTTTCCACCTTTTCCTATGCTTCTCTATTGTTTTTTCCCCCCTTGTACTCATATTTTAGTGTTTTTTGGCCTAGCATTAGACTCATTTATTTATTTTATTAATCATTATGTGGTTAGTTGTCATAATCACAGAATAACAGCCACAATAAAAGGCCAAAAAGCTCCATGTGAAACACATAAAACCATCATTCTAAATCAAAGTACAAAGCTGGGCATGATGGTGCCCATCTGTAATCCCAGCACTTGAGAGGCTGAGGCAGGAAGATTGTTGGATGATCCAGACCAGCCTGCTACAAAGCGAGCTCCAAGGCAGCCTGAACTGCATAGGGAGACTGTCTCCAAAAGACAAAAAAATCAAGACACCCTTTTAGATACATTGATCATGCTGGATCACAATAACTTTTCCTCCGTTTCCCCTATTGCCCTTTGTGTATTGTGTTCTCACATAAGAAGACCTGTGTGCTGTTTAAGCATGTGTGTCTTGTGTATTTCACTTAGCAGTAAGTCTGAAGGTGAACCTGTTTTACTACATGTGACCCAGGTTTGTGATTCCTTGTGGCACACTGGTACTTCATTGTGTATAAATGTCTCCTTTTGCTTTTTATTCCATCCAGAATAAAAGCATCTTGGTTTATGCGAACCACTTCCAGGGACGGGGCTCTTCCTACAGGGAATGATACAAGGATATACCCTGAAATGCTCACCTGATGTCCTGGGAGTTTCTTAATCCCACTATCTTGACCTCCTATCACAGTTCACTGCCTGGGTACATCCTTGGCCTTCCTTCACTTTTCATTTTGCAGCACAAGGTCACTAAGTTGCTAAGATATCCAGGGTAGAATCTATATTTGTACTGTCCTGCCTCAGCCTCCAAACATTCTGGAATAAAGTGTGTGCCACACTTCACTTGGTTCCAGATCTTCCCTCAGAGATTAATTAATAATGACTTTGAGAACTGTGGTTTTGCAAGCAGACTTCACGGGCTGTGCCAGAGGAGGATGCAGGGAGACAGTGCAGTCTGGGACAGAGCTGGGCAGTGCTGCTCCGGGGCAGGAGGCAGTGGGGCTGAGTGCTGGGAGAACAGGGCCCAACTGCCCTGACAGAGCCACCCAGCACTATGCATCTGCACACAGGGTGCCCTGTGTCTGTCCTGGAGACTTAGGCCTGGAAAAGGACAGCGGGACTGTGGTCCAGCCCTTCAGGAGCCACCTTAAAAGGCATCCCCAGGAAAAAAAAGCATCCCCAGGAAAAAAAGGCATCCCCAGGGAGCAGCAGCTCCAAGAGGAGCTAAAGTGGTCTGGAAACAGAGAGCAGAAGGGAGGAGAGGCCACCTGTGCTCTGCGGGCCAGGCTGCTCCTTTGTCCCCTGTGGACTGCTAGCCCTGAGGGATGAACTCATCACTGGGGAGGAGGAGTGAGCAGGGCTGTGACCTGCAGGTGTCTAATTCAGGCCTTGCCCCTCAGGATCCCTGGTGCCCCATTCTGGGAGTTACACCGGACCTGGCCTTAGAGCACTGGTGGCTCATGGTGCCCCAGTAACTCTGTGCCTCCCAGAAAGCTCCTTAGGCCTCTTAAAGTCCCATGCAGGTGTTGGGAGAGACAGCTGTCACCCTCAGGGCTCTTGTCTTCCTGTCTGGCAATGAAATTGATAGAGGCTTTTAATCTTTTAATAAAAAGCAGAAACCTTAATTCAAATGCAAGCTAACTCCAAACCCAGTTTAAACTGAAATCAGCTCAAGGCAAAAGCTGTGGTGGCCTGGGAGCTGCAGGCAGGACATGGGGTCCTCTTGTGAGAACGCTGGGTGTGGGTTTGGGTTTGAGTGTCTCCAAGCCTGGTGCTGAGCCCTGTGCATCTCTTCTGCCTGCTCAAGCCTGCATGTGTACAGCCAGCTGCCAGGGCCCAGGAGATCGGCCTAGGCCAGATGACTGTGTTCCCTGGGGGCACTGGTTCTGCCTGGAAGCTTTCCCCTTGGGGTCCAAGGAGCCCCTGAGATGGCTGCATTGAGGTACAGGATGCCCCATTTCCCAGCCTTGGAAGCCCAAGTGCTTCTGAATTCTCCAAGCTCTGGGCTGTTTCTGTTCCACACTTTAGTGCACAGGTGATGCACAGTGTGGTGTGACCTGGCAGGACTGTGTGTTGGTGATGACACTGTGTATCTTTCACTCTGCTCACAGCTGCTGTCCTGTGTCCCAGGGTGGTATCTGACCTTCCTGATCTCCCCCTGGTCCTCACATGACAGCCCCTCCTGGGAACAGGTCTGTCTGACCTAGCTCTGTGTCTGCACTCTGCTAGGACTCTCCCGAGGCCCAGGCCACCTGCAGTTCTGGGGATACCAGGTGTCCTGCCCCACTGTGCAGAAGCCTGGAAACAAATGCTGCCATTGAATGCTTGGTGCAGCAGGGATCACCCAGCTCCCCGAGGTGTAATGGTCCTGGGATTCAGTGCCCCAGGTGAGGGGCATCCAGATAAGAGCCTGGCCACTTCCATTCCGGCCTGAGGAGTCTGGTCACATCCGTGCAGGCATGAGGCTGTGTGCCCTGCTAGCCATGCTGTCAGGTGCCCTCTTGGCAGCCCCTGGGCCTTTGGGTTGGCTGCTTCCTGGCCACATCCCTCGCTTCAAGCGTCCAGGGGATGTGGTGCTGGGTGGCAGCTTCTCGATCCTTCGTTTCTACAATGCTGTCTCCCTGGACTTCACAGCACTGCCTGCAAGGCAGCCATCCTCACGGTGAGCAGGGTTGGTGGATCCCCATGCTGTGGTGCTGCAGGTTCCCAAATACTGATTTGTGCCTGGCCATTGGTGGCTCCCAGTCCTTAGTGACTCTTTCTGTGCATCTCCTTCTGGCTGGCCCTTGTGCAGTCCAGAACATGCTATGTGCTGTGCTTGGGGACTGCAGGCTTGTGCAAATGTTCCTGGGCTTCTCCTCCTTCTGAGATGGGTACAGGGCTGGATGAGAGACAGGTGTTTTTGCTGACTGAGCTTAAGGCTGCTCCTCAGGAGCTGGGATTCAGGTTCTGTTGTTTTTGCTTTGCCTGTTTCTGTCCTTCAGTTCATAGTGCAGCACACGTTTTAAATTAAATGAGACTGCTCTGGCTCCCTCTCAGGCAGAAGCTTTCTTTCTCTCAATAAATATATTCTGCTCTTTAAAGAAATGAATAAATCATATATGTTTAGTTTTACTAAAGCTGTCAAAATTCTTTTGAAATGACAAAACTTTGTGTTACCATCAGAAATACTTAGTTTTTCCTTTCGACATTCACTGGGTGTTTTGATATGTTTGAAAATTAATGAATCATAATTGTACAAATGTCTGTCTCACACTTCAGCATGCTGATGTGTGCATATATATCATAGAAAGATTAAGTTAGAAGAAATTTAAAAAAATACTAAATTAGGCTGATCAGTGCATCATGATGTCATGTATGGACTTTTTTTTTTTTGTTAAAGAGCACATTTAAAGTCTATTCTTAGCGACTTTGAAATACATGTTAATTTTGGGGGCCTTTAACATTCTTGGGCACCAGACTTTATACTCGTGCCTAGGCACAGTCTAACTTTCCAGCACCTACTGGATCTGGCCCACTTGATGGTTTGTCTGTTTTTTCTGTATTTTGGTTTAAGCACATGGCATTAACTTTGGATAATGTCTCTAGTATTCTTTTTTCCCTACTCTTTTATTACTTCCTTCTTTCCATCCTTTCCTTCTTTCTTTTATAACATGATCTTGTAAATTTGCCCAGGCTGGGATTGATCTTGCAAACTTCCTGCCTCAGCTTCCCAGAGTGCTAGATTAAAGGTGTGCACAACCACACTCCAACCAACCCTCTCCCTGTCTGTTCTGAATGACGCTGTGTGAATTTCTGTATGTGGGTTACATGGAAATGCAACTTGTCCCACATACTGTGTGTGCCATGCATACAGGTATCACTGACTATGCAAGCCTACTCTGTCTGCCCTGTGCCAACTGTGACTTTGGACTTCTCTCCTCAGTGTGTCCAGCTGGGGCTACCGGGTGGCCCAGAGCTTTGTCTTTGCTGTGGAGGAGATCAACAGGAGCACCCACCTGCTGCCCAACCTGACACTGGGCTTCTCCATTCACAACTCTGGGGACTCTGTGCATGGAGCCATGCATGAGACCATGTCCTTCCTCTCAGGGCAGGAGGATCCAGTCCCTAACTATGCATGCCACTGGGGTCCACCCAGGGTTGCCATGGTGGGGGACACACGCTCAGCCCTGTCTGTGGCCATGGCCAGGCTCTTGGGGCTCTACAAGTTTCCCCAGGTGAGTCCGCCCAGGTGCTGTCCCTTCAGAACCAGGAGGATGGCAGAGAGTCTGAGTGATGTGACACTCAGGTAGGTGCTCTGCTGTGGGAGGTCCCTGCTGTCACATCCACATCTGAACCTGTTCTCTGCATGACCCTTTGTTATGGGAGAGCTCTGTTCTCATCCCTTGGAGGAGCAGCCAGCTTTGGATCAAACACAGTGACAGTCTCAGCTCACTCAGTGCCAGGAGCTGGAGCTGAGGTTCAAGTCCAGGCAGGGGATTCAGGCCACTAGCTTCACCTGTACCCTTGGTTGTCACTGAATTGCAGGCTCTCGATGGTACTCCCGAGACAGTGGCCATAGGAGGCTGCCACATATGCCGCTGCCAATGAGAGCTCTTACTTTTAGGGGAGGAATTGAGATGTGTAGCGTGGATTCATCCATTGAACATGGCTATTAGCATGACCAGGGTGAAAATAACAGCCACCAGTAATGTGAATGTTTTCCTCACCCTGCAAAAAACCCCAAACCCAGGAGGTACCACTTTGCTCCAGCGAACCCCAAGCCACCCGTCTGCATTACATCTCTGTGGATCTGCCTTTGTGGATATTTCCCAGGATGGAATTAGAAGGTGTGTGTTGTGGGACTTGCAGCTTCCCTGGGCAGTGTCATGGGTCAGTCCCACTGTGGCCAGTGTTAGAGTTTCACCCTTTTTCAGTGACCATTTATATCCTCTCTGTGCAAAGACCTCATTGTGTTCACTCACTCTGCAGTTCATAGGATTTGAGCTGCTTTTCCTCAGGTCCTGTGGATGCTGTTTCTCTGCATGTTCAGGATCAGACTTAGCATTGTTGTGTGTGGAGCAGAATCACTGGGCCCAATGCTGCTCTTTTGAACTAGTGTTATGTGTGCCTTGGCTCTGCATGAGGTTGCATTCCCATCAGCTGTGTTCAAGGGTCCCACTGAAGCCTATCTGGTCTCACTTTGAAGCCTGTGAACCTGGGTGAGTCCCACTGTCACTCCCACTTGCTGTGAGGAAGCTACCTATGCAGTGGGACATTGAAGGTGACAAAATTTGGTTGCAGTCTGTTTATCAAGGTGCCATACAGTTGTGGAGAAGGGGACACCCATGGCTCCTACTGTGCTGGGATCATCTCCCAGGGCCTCCATCGTGTTTGGATGCTCCCTGAGTGGCTCCAGGTTCTTCATGATCAGGTGGAAGGTCCTTCTGGACAGTCTTCTAGTTCCTATTGCTGTTCCACGTGTCTGACCTCAGATTGTCAGTGCAGAATCCTTAGCCCAAGGATTCTGATCCTCTCAGCTTATAGTACTAATAATACATTCTCAACTAGAGTTTTCTGTGACGTGGATTTTTCTCCTTTCCTTCAAATATAAGCACATTTAAAGACTTGGAAATATCTTTGTTAATCATACCTCAAGAAAATCCTATTTTCCATGTTGTAGGTAGGTCAGAAATTACACAGAATCTTCAAAGAAATCTGGGTTTTGAACAAAATCCAAACCCATAGGTACAGGACAAACCTGTACTCATCATTCATCAGAAATCCACATCACTGCTTATCCTGTACTTTTATTTGCAAAATTTGGCTAGCCTGTCCCTATGAGAGCTAGTCCTTGTGGGGCCCTTTCTGCAGGTCCCAGGAAATCCAACACCTACAGTTGGAGCTGAAGTGCAACCTCTGTGCCATCTATTGAATCCCTGCTCTCTTACAGGAGGAGGGGGTTTATATATCGGTGAGGAGAGTTAAGGTATCATCTATCCACTCAGCCAGGGCCTGAGCGACTGCATCCTGCACCTCAGCCTCTACCAGCATCCAACATGATACCGTGCTGTGCCAACTGCATCTCAAGAGCTCTTTTCTCTTTTGGAAAAATGATCTCTTTCCAACACAAAAACAAACAGCTGTAAATTGCCTTCCCACATTCTTTGTCATCTCTCACAGAACAGAGTTCAAAAAATAGCCAGATGAGATGCACTGGCCCTAAACATGGTCCCTGGTATTCAAGGTAACCTACTAGTTCTGTGCCAAGCAGAGTCTTTGAGTCAAGCCCATCTGAGGCCCTGGCCTAGACAGCAGTGTGGGATTCCAGGGGCCTAGTTGAGGCTCATCTGCTCCTGAGTTTCCTCCTGAGCCATATGGGCTGTACGAGGCTGAGCCAGAAGACATGGAGCTGACACTTGCTGGGCCCTCCTGGGCTCTCAGAGCATGGTGTGAAATGTGTGTATAAGTTTTGGGAATATGAGAATTTTGACACTATTGATTCTGCCTAAGATGGGGATGTCTTTCCATTTTCTAATTGCCTCTTCCATTTATGTCTTCAGAGGACTATAGTTTTCATTATAGAGATCTTCTACTTCCTTGGTTATTTGTATTCCTAGGTACATTACTTAATCTTTGTGTTCTTCCTATGAATGCAGTCCTTTTCCTGATTTCCTTCACTGTGGATTAATTGTTAGTGTATAAAATTTCTGTTAATGGTCATTACTTTTTAATTTTCTGTTTAATTTTAAGTAACTTAAAACTGATTTTGTATCCTGCCACCTAGATAGGTTGCCTTATGAGCTCTAAGAGTTTTCTCACCGCATTTTTGTGTCTTTTGAATAGAGGATAGCGTGACAGTTTTCTTTCCTGTTGGTCCGTCTTTTATTTCACTTTCTCTTCCAGTTCATCAGGCTAAACTTCAATTGCTCTATTGTATGTTACTGTGGGTGTGGAAACACTTGTGGTGTTTCTGATGTTAGGGGGATGTATTCAGTTTTCCCCCAGTTGCTATGAAGTCGACAGTGAGCTTGTCACAAATGACTTTCATTAGTTTGAGTTGATGTCCTATACTAATATCCATCAGAGTTTTCAATATGAATGGATGTTGAATCTTTTTTCTGCAGCAACTGTGATGATCAAGTGATTTTTATCCTTAATTATGTTTGTGGTATGTTGTATTTCTTGACTTACATAAGATGTACCACCCTTGCATAACTGGGCAGAAGCTGACATGGTCATCATGTATGATGTTAAAAAATTTTTATTTTATTTTAAAGAGATTAAGAACAGAGAGGACAGAACAAAGCAGATCAGAACAGAAAAATGTAAGCAACACAGCACTTCACCACAAGATAACTGGATAATAACAGTAGCTACCATAATGTCTCTTTCTTTGAAATAGTTGAGAATACCTTCACATACAACAGTGTCAAATAAACAAAATAGTGTAAAACCATTCAAGAGAATGTAAGTATTACTGGGCATTCAGAACCAAATAACAGAAAATGAAAAATGGCTACTATATCATCTTATTTTCATAAAAATTAGTTTACACTATCACACATATTAAAACCCAATATGACACAACATCATTGAACCACGGAAACAAAAGAATAAAAGCATGGTAGGACATCAAAGCAAGATGATATTAAATCAGCAATGGCTGCCATAATATCTCATTTTCTTCAAAATAGCTGTTCATATCATCGCACCTAACATCAAAGAAAACAGAATAAAACCATTCCAACTAATGAATGAAAACATTATAAGGCTTCAAAGCAATGTAATGAGGATCCATGGTTATTGTAAAATCTTATGTACTCTTACCATTTTGTACACTAGGGAGACTATATGTTATTTATATATGTGAGTTTCATTTATTTGGCTTATGAGTATGGTTTCAAGTTGCATCCATTTATTTATAAATGTCTTAATGTGATCATTCTTCATGGCTGAGTAGTATTCCATTGCATAAAAATACCATCACTTTTTTATCCATTCCTCAGGTTTTTTTGGTGCTGCTATAAACATGGCTGTACTTATATCACAGTGGTATGATGTTTTCAGTTCTTCTGGGAACATGCTCAGAAGTTGAATAGGTGAGTCAAATGGGACTTCCAATCACAGCTTTTTGAGGAACCTCCAGACTGACTTCCACAGTAGCTGCACCAGTCTACACTCCCACCAACAGTGCAGGAGAGTTCTTTTTCCCCCACAACCTCTCGAGCATTTTTTTTGTAGTTTTCTTGATCCTGGCCATTGTTTCTGTAGTGAGATGGAATTTCAGTGTTGTTTTAATTTGCACTTCTCTAATGACTAATGATGAAGAACATTTTTTCATGCATTTATTTGCCATTTGTATTTCTTCATCTGAGAAGTGTGTATTCATTTCAGATGTGCAATTTTGGATTAGATATTTGAATTTTGGGGGTCTGAGTTTTAAAAACTCTTTATATGTTCCAGCCAGAAGTCTTTTGTCTGAGGGACAGTTTACTATGATTTTTTCCCAGTTTGTGGGTTTGTCTTTCACTATGCTGGAGATTTTGTTCGACATGGAGAAACTCTTTAATAATACATGACACCAGTTATTGATTCTTAGAAATATTTCCCATTTGGTTTGATTCTTGTTAATGAATTCTCTACCTACCACTATGTCTTCAAGATTTTTACCTACTTTGTCTTCCAGGATTAGTGTTTCTGTTTTAATATTCTAATCTTTGATCCATTTAGATTTTAGTTTAGTACATGGTGATAGGCATGGGTCTAGTTTTAGTTTTCAGCATTTGGAGAGCCAGTTTTTCCAGCACCATTTATTAAAGAGACTGTCATTTTTCCAACGAAAATGTTTGGCCCCTTTATCAAAGGTAAGTTGATTGTGTTTGTAGTTGTGATCTTCTAATCTATTCTCTTGATCTTCTAATCTCTGTTTTTATTCCAGTACCATGTTGATTTTATTACAGGAACTTTGTAGTATAACTTCAAGTCAGGGATTGTGATGCCTCCTGCCTTGCCTTTGTTGCTTAGAATTGCCTTTGCTATTGGAGGTCTCTTCTGGTTTCAGATGAATTTTATGAATGATTTCTTGAGATCTATGAAGTATGTTAGTGGTACTTTGATTGGGGTTGAATTGAATCTGTGTAAGAGTTTTTGGAGAATGGCTATTTTCTCAATATTTACTCTTCCTATCCATGAACAAGTTATGTCTTTCCATTTTCTGAGATATTCTTCGATTTCT